TAATTTAACGAACAGTGTAAAGAATGATTTGATTGCCGATAACAGCGTATTTCAATTGTCTCTTGAATGCAAAGCGGGCATTTTTTAATGCTTTTCGTGTACCTTGAATTTCTTTGTATGTACAGTAGTTTAATTTGTTATACTTTTTTCTCCTTTCTCTCTTTTACTTGTATTTGAGTTCTTGTGAGAACGTTTGTTGATCCATCGATAACTGTAAGTAAATCGGGAAAACTATATGGCTCAGTCAAATACAGTATTCGTTTGTGTTACAATATGATTCTTACTTCTTAAGTCACCTAAGTGGTTCAATAAATATATGCAAATGAATTTTCTTTACATTACAACGGATGAAATAAAACAACGCATAACAGCAATTTTAGGCGGCAGCCGATGACTGTTGAGCAGTCGGTGAATGATTAAGCAAAGCCAAGAAATCGTACTGTTCTTGATACAAAATTAATCCAAATATGTTATTTAGATTTACAGATATGTATAAGTAAGAAAAGAGAAAATTGATGTTTTTCTTACAGAAATTATCAGAAAATGTTGTTATTTTATAAGAATAAGCTCTTTTGAATGGTAAAGAAAACAAGCACATTTGTTAGTTGTCGCTCCCTTCAAGGGTGATATTCACAAACTGGCAGTGATAATAAATTAATCACCTCAAACGTGAACTATGTAAACAATTCTTTGCCCAAAGATGACATCATTAAGCACTTTCAAATGCCAAGGACTTGTTTAAAAAAGCATTAAATACGCATGTTTTCATTGTTGTGACAATACAATAAAGATCCGAGAAATGAAAATGAAACACAAGTGTAGCAATATATTGAGTTACTAAACTTCCTCGTAGAATCAACTGTATATGTATCAATCGATAAAAGCATAGGAATTGCTCCTTGGAAATGGCTTCTTTTTTGGTTTATTAAAAATATTTCTTAGTGTGGATCAAACTGGTTCCCATGGTAGAGAAGAGCAGATGACAGTGACTCCACGAGAGAATAAGTTAAAAATAATAAAAAGGATTTTATTTGGCTAAAAATGTCATGTATGTTTTTTTTTTAATTTGCCACTTGTCTTGTTAAGCTTATGATGTTAAAATTTCCAGAGTAGTCATACTCAGTTGATTTCAATGGCATCAGGCGGAAAAATGGTTGTTGATAACAGCTATTTCTGAAATCCAAAGCTTCTGTAAATTGAATGAGCCTTTATTGTTGTCCTATTAAATTCGAAAAACATATTGTTTTCTTATCTAAAGACCAGTTAACAAAAATATAAGTTTTAAATAAGATCATTTTTAATAAAGTGAAGAGATTTACTAGTAGTGTGCTATAAATGTTTGAATAACACAACACCATCGAATTTAGACCCTGCTTTATTTGATCCGTATAGCAAAATTTCTTTCTTGGAATTGAACAAAAGGCGACGAAAAGATAAGGATAGATTGGAAAATGAAAAAATATACAACCGATCAGTTCCCGCTGTAAAAAAAATTTTTCTGCAACGTAATGACAAAGATTCCAGGTCTATGGCCGTTTCTTGCTAGACATCTCAACGGCTAACAACGGTCTTCACTCTTTATTTCTTAATTCATTTCAGACCCAAGCTTTACGTTTGGCAAACTTGGAAGGTACAGCGGCTAGAAAGCTTGTTGGCAGAGGCCAGAAGAATTCTTGGGCTTGAAAATAATGAAGGAACTCGTATTTTTACGCACAGTGGAGATTTGGTAACCAGCGAAGATCAGATTGTTGATGGACAAATTTATGTCGTTGCCGGTGATGAAGATTTTTACAAAAGGTAAGACAGTAGAGTAAAGTATGCCATATCTTCAGGATATAAAGAAATAAGGTATTTCAACATCTATCATAATTCCTTCCAAAAATCGTTAAGTAGAGTTATTGTTCATTTTCAGCGAACACCAAAGTGAAAGACGGAGCTACTCAGGTACAGCCTTTTGGAGTTAACAATTAAATAAAGTTTTTTTTAGTGTATAATTTTATTGGACACTCCTCTTCAAACTTCTTTTGTGGAAAAACGTGAGTTAAAATTTTTAAATTTTTCCATCAGCACTTCTGGCTTCAAATATAAGTTTTTTTAATAAATTAAATAAAAACTAACATTCCAACCCATAAAAAAAAGTTATAACAAATCACAAGTCTTTTCAAGTCCAAAAGAAGGAAGGTGACAAAACTTATTCTCTAAACTGCCTCCATTACATTCTATCTTTAATAATCTGCTTTACACTCCGTTTTTTTAGAAAAAGACTACCGAAAGACTGTCCATTCGTCAAAAAGTTATCAACTGCGCAATAAAGACAACAGTTTTCCGGGAAAAATGGCAACAGCAAATTCAGACGGCAGGTTACGAAATGGCCGTAAGCCTCATCACTGGACTGACGATGAGAACAACGAACCTCAAGATAGCAACGGCAACAGAACTGAAGATGAGCAAATGGCTTCTGCGCAAAAAAACGCTAAAAAATTCTCTTCAAGAAGTGATCCATCTTTTTCACGTCAAGCTGGACCGTACTCACAGCTATCAGAAAACCCAGAGATTTTGCAAGACAGAAATTTAACTGCCAACAGAGGAAACCAAACGAGTCAACAAAACTTGAGTGCTTCACCTCCACAACTTTCAAATGCACAGCGAAGCATCATTGCTCCTGGTACTCCATCGACATCCGTACCATTTTCAGCTCATGGCAAGAGGAAATGTAAATTATTTTTTAGATAAGCCTCAATCAATCTAATACCAAAAGATAAATCCTAAAATATAGAAGCTATTTCACACTGTGAGCAGTATTCATTTGTTAAATTCAGTATAAACAACAATCTAATTTATTCTGACTTAGGCTCTAAGACTGGCAATGAAGTTTATAACACTGTTCCCTCTTATTCTGGGAAACAGAAGAATGGCGAAGTTTTTAATGAGATTCCACCAATCCCTTTCGAATCGGCAGCTAGTAATTACGGGTATAACAGTAACATTGACGACTGGCAAAGCAGTGTTGGTGGAAAAGGTATTGGTTCGAAGTTTCCTAGGTTCATTAATAGATATCAAACTTCTCAGTTGAAAAAAGGCAGTCTTTCGTCAGTTTGTTCGAAGATTTATAATTGTAGAATATGAACCGTACAAGTCCATGAAGCGTGACAGTACAAAAAAAAAAAGTTTGGATAAAACTTACGAAAACCCACAATCTCAGTTGGATTTCAACATAAAACGGTTGCTGTCTACCTATTTTAACGAGTGGTGTTGCTCTTGGTTTAAATTAAGCCTTAAATTAATTTATAGTGCTTATCTAGCTTTTGAAGAAGTAAAAATTCTTGTTTACTCAGGTGATATTTCTAAAATTGTTTCACTATAAGATCTATAACTGCAGTAAATGGTCTAAGGATTATAATATTTAGTAAAAGACGTCAAAAACGATTAGAAAATAAAGATGCAATCTACAATCGACCTGATCAAACGCATCCAGACGCTTACATTATCTAGTAAAATCTTTTAATATATTAAACTTTACTAGAATAATAGCATTTTTTCTGAGTGCATCTCAGTGCAGATTACGCAATGAGTTAAAATGTTTTAGAAAAAGTATTTATTACATATAAATAAGGCTTACAGTGTTTTTCTGAACGGTAACGGACTCGAGTCCCAGTGCGTCCATTTTCAAAGGATGCAACTGGAAAGAGGAATGGGTTTTGTTATGGAACTGATTGCCAGACGTTACGGTGTTAAACCTTACAAGTAAGTGGTAATTTAGTGAGTTAGATAACTTAAAGTTTATCTTGAAACGGTACTGTTCAATGTCAGTCTAAAATAATCGTCAGGCCTTTGATTACTACAATGTTCGCTTGTTTCTGATACAGTTATGTCAAATGCTTCCCATATTTAAACCATTACCTTAAAGGTTAGAATTAGTTAACAGTTGAGATGTAAAATAAGATTTTTGCTGACGGACTCAATTCGTTGCTAAATGTTGCCTCACTGCAATACAACTGAAGATTATGCAAGATGGATGGACATCGTGTAAAGGATGTTACGGAACTGATGTCCCGTGGTGCATACGTTCTAGTACCAGTTAGTCAGTCGTTTCGTGATGCTTGGTATTTCCTGCCGGATAACGCTATTGATACCAGGTTTGCGCTTCAAACCTTTTGTGCAGTACTGATAAGCGTTTGCTCATAAAGAAAACAGACCCATTCGTTAGTGATGAACAAAAATCTACTTTGAAGAAAATTATTTTTTATGCGGCATAAAATTTGCTTGGTTCCACAAAGAAAGTTCGAAAATTTTCCAGCGTTGACGTTGATACAATTAAACAACGTGATGCTCAGCGAGAAAAGCTAATTCTCCGCCATGATCAACGTTTAGCAGCACGTCGGAAACCCTCAATGCCGGACGTCAGTGCTTTAAATATGGCACTGAGTAGGTGAGTAAACAACCGTTTTATTCGTATTTCGAGAACTGTTTGTGATATTTTAATGCTGAAGAAATTTAAAGGACGTCAATTATTATTTAAACTTGAATTTTACACCAAACATTAAAGTTCAGCCCGTCTTTAATCTTGTTATTTAATACAGGATGGAAACAAAAAGTAAGCAGAGAGGTAGTAAACCCGCAGACAAGTTAGCGGAGGGCAAGAATTTTACCCGAAAATATGTAACAAACCAAGGTATTTAAGATTTTACAACACAATTATTGGTGACAGGAATTTAGTAAGGTCATTGGCAGTGCAAGTTATGGATGCAAAAAAACATAAGTAATGAACACTGCGAAGCTAAAATTTATTAACAAAATTACAAAAAAGTCATGAATGTCAAGCATTGTGTCGACAGTTAGGATAACAACGGTGTCATTGGTCTTTGAGAGAAGCATCTGACGTCACTTCAAAATACACCGCATTTCAGGAATGATGTCGCAAAGCAAGGCGAATAGTTTAGAAGATGACGAAATCGGCCCAATAAAGCCGGGTGATTACTTTTCCAACATTAAGGTAAAGTAAAAACGGACGCGTTTGTTTCCATGCTAACGCAATTTATGCTACCCAGACGTTTCTAAAATAAGATTCAGTCAAAAAAGATAATTCCTTTTCCTTCCCGATCTCTAAAAAGTATAAATTTGGTCATCTTTACAGCTTATGATTTCTTGTTTTCTGTAAGAGAACCTCCTCCAGGGCGTTGGATAGTTCTGCTGCAGTTTAAAGCGCGCAGTTAAGATGTTCAATTAAGCGTTACTTTAAGGAGTTTTTCTGAGCTAATTTATTGTACAAAAAAATTACTACGTACTGCTCTTATATGGTTAAACCTGCAAATATCCTCCTAAAGGCTGTGTTTTAAGCTTTCCAGAGTATTTTTTTCAAGGCTAGTCACCTTTTTGTAACCAATATTCATCTTAACTTTACTTTTTGAAAAACTATTTAAGTCAGGCTAGTTTTACTTCTTCTGTCTCAGAATAAGTTCCAAAGTTTCGAAAAAAAGGATTTTTTTCGTACAGTTAAAATTTAAACTGGAGAATTGCGCGCTTGGCGCTCGATTGAAAACTTTGAGACTCAATTGCCGAAGCTGCTCAAATTTAAAGTTTTTTTGACTACTGTTAGAGAAAACAGCATCCAAAGTTTCACAGATACCCTACAGTAACGAAGGCTCAGAATTCATAACAGAAAATCAATGTCAAAAAACTGAACGTTCTCTCATAAAACATTTCAGGAATAAAAGCTTTATAATATGCAGTAAAAATCTTTAGTAGAACATCGCTAGAGTAACGACTTCTAAGGCCATTCATTTCCATATCTTCTTTTGCCAGAATAAATCAGGCGCATTCATTTAAAAGCTCAAAAACTATACGGCTTGTAAAAACTTACATGTTTTTTCTACTTTTTTATTGTATGAAACTTTAAAATGGACCAGCGAGTAAGCATACGTTTACGTGTCATATATGAATAATATGAATAAATTATAAGGTTCAGAAGTAAAAAAATTGTAACAAGCACTTTTGAAAAATCCTTCAGTAAAGGATTATCGCAGTATTAACTATCATATTTATCGTGCCCAAGGTAAATGTATTAACCCATAAGTTTCTGCTTTAAACATCCTGTTACTTTCATTTTTTGAAAGCTCCACATAGCTGGAATACTCGCAGCGTTTTAAACTGCTAAACGTAAGTTACTGAATATTACGTTTATCGGGATCTAAAAGATGTATGGTGATGGATCACAAAATCTCGTTGAAGAAAGAATAACAGAAAGTTGGAAAACATTTAAAATGTTTTTGATAAAACAATAGCTTTTTTAGAACAATCGTTGATTAAATAAGCAGTAATAACAAGGAGCAGATGATAGTTCTGTACGGTGACGATGTTTCAACAAAAACTCTAGCTTAGAGATTTTCATAACGAAATCGCCTTTTGTATTTGCGATACAGTACACAAGTGTATGCAGCTAGAACAGTGAAAAGAACGAGAAAGACACCACATATCGACCAAAACCAAGGACTAGCCCACCATTGACTAGTAACTGTTATCGTTGGCACTGTAGGGTGGACTGTATCAGGTTCACTGCCTAAAATCACAGTTACACACTAATATGCTATGACTGAAATTGCGTTTTGAGAAAACGTTATTGCTACTGTGAATAAAAAATGTTTATCAACAACGGGTTTACTTGGTGGCACAATGACCGGGTAGATGCTGCTAACAAGTGAGCGTTTCACTGTATCTTGAACGAAATTCGTGGTTTCCCCGTCCTCGTCTTTCCAGTGCTGCTTGTCATTCGTGTTGCTGGTTGTGTTTCTAATCAGGTTATCAAAGAATTCATCAATGACTTTCATTACTTCGTCAAAATAGTCGTAAGCTAAAACTGCATGGCTTTCAGAAAAAAAACTTTAGAGCAGTGGCTCTTGGAACGAACAAGGGTGCCCAAAAAATTTCCTCCGTTGCATCCTTACCATTTGGAGGTATTTTAACCTCAACAGAGGTGAATTCATCGTTGTTGGTTCCTCGAATAACGACTTGAGGAGTTTCAGTAACAAAATTATTTGGCTTTAATGGCTGACTGACTGGTGTTGAATGCTCTTCATACATCTTTCTACGATTGGCGAGTTCTTTTTTAGCGCTCTCCAGCTCTTCAAATATTCATTATGACAGTTTAGTATGTAACTGAACATTCTTTAAGTGATTAATTTTTTTTACACGTTGAAAATTTTGGATTGCTTAAAAGTACATTGTAGTTAATGCACTATAAGTTATTAAAAAACTTACTGTTCTTCACAATAGATTTTGCTTCTTCCACTTTCCTTCTTACTTCATTGTCAAAATTCTTCAAAACGAAGTGTAAACGTTTCTGAAGATGCAGATTTGTAATTGCAAGAAAAAGAACTGATTTTCAAGATTCTCAAGAGTGTAAATTTATTTGTAAATATGAATTTATAATTTAAGCAAAAATACTTGGTGATTTTTCTTTTATAACTAACAGATGATGAAGAACTGCGACCTTCAATAATTAAATAATCAGAAGGCAAAAGTTACTGCGTTTTGTTTTAGAAATTTGAATAGTTTTTAGAAGACAATTTTTGGTTTTTTGAAACTAAGCGGTTCTGTAACGAACGCAACTTATTTTGGCAAATATAAATGTGAAGAATAAAAATCGGCCAATTAAAAAAATTATTCAATATCTGGAATTTAATTTCTTTAGCAGATTCTGTGCACATTTGCAGTTAATGAATATTAAGAATAAGGAGTTGACAGAACCAAAATCTCAGTCATGTTTTGACCCCACTGATCAATCAGTTTGGCAGCTCTTCCTATTTGCTGGTTCCCGACTAAAGCGTCTCCAATAAGACCTTGGAACACGTCTTCTATTTCGTCGATACTCCATTTACCGTTCGGGGATCTTTGTGGATGTTTCTAAGCAGACTTAACTATAATCCTTATTTTAATAAACAAGACTACCAACAGGGTTTGAGCGATTGAAATTATTTTCATATATCTGCACTGTATTTTGAATATTACAATCATTTTACAGTTTCTGATCTATTTTTAATACTGTTTGTAACCTCGCTGTACTCTTGACTTAGTCGTTGTACTGTAAGGTTCCAAAAATTGACTGCTTTGTTGTGGTATCCTTTAGCGTTTCTTGGTAAAGTGCTATCGGATAGAACTACGTAATTCATTTGTTCTGGATCAAAAGCTTTCCATTCTAGAGACTCGGTAGAAGGGTCACCTTAACGAAACATCAGTAAGAATAAGCTCTTCGAGGTGGATGAAAACTTACCGTTTTTAATAAACGCAATGACTGCTATTTGCAGCTGTCTGTTCAATGTTATTCCGTCTTGTGTTGGATCCTGATTGATCACCCGGTTCAGTGCTCTATCTAAACTTTGTGGTACTACGTTATCAAGTGATTATTGAAATTGTTCAACTTATTTAACTGCGCATAGATACATCACGTCAAATCCCTAACAAAAGCAATTTTGCTTCTTAGCAACTGACAGGATTACACTGAAGTCAAAATTTGAAAGTAGCACCTGAACTTTCTGAAAAAGCCGTATAATCGAATAAAAAAGTTTTTCCTGCGTTCTTTGTATTAACGTAAGCCGTTTCCAAAAGAGGTAAATGAATAACAGCATCCATTACTAGTTCCGGTTTTCTAAAACCTGAAAGCACACAGTAAAGTTGCATTTATTTTACTGTACGATTTTCTTTGCAGAGGAAGCTGTTACGTAAACACAGAACCAACGCCAAACGTACGATTTCTTCTTGTTATCATTTAAATTAAAACAACAATTTTAAACTTTTCCATAACTATGTATGTACTGTTTACCAGTTGTATTATACTTATAATATAAGCACGTTTACCTTCTTTGTACTCTTGAAAACAAGCGTTAACAAGCTCCGCTGTATTATTTGAATGACAATACTTGGTAAGCATCTGACACCAAGCTCTCACCGAATCTTCCGACTTTAAATGGGCTGCAGTTTTTGCATTACTAACAATGTTTGGCATGTTTCCGATCAGCATAGTAGTTCCACGCCGTGAATCCACTAGTTGTTGTATCTATCAATATTAGAAGATTATTGAGTAAAAAGAACAATAATTTATCTTTACCAGATAACCACTTAGTCTACAGACAAATACTGTTTATATGTTGCACGAAAAATACGTCTAGTGTGAAAGTAGACTCCAAGTTTATAATAATGCATAATTACGCTCAGAAGCACACAGAAAACAAACTACACTCTTTAGTTGCTTTGTATATTACAGTTCAATTAAAAAATTGATAGAGAAATTGAAAACAACTCTTGCAAATATCACTTTACCGATTTCGGAAATACAGGCCTATCTTCGTCGCTGTCAAGCATAGGTGATTTGAAACTGTATTCTCTGCTCTTATCCTCCAGCCCTCGTTGCAGTGACAGCAGTTCACTGGCACTTTTGGATCTGCATTTCATAATTGGTAGATTAGTTGCCTTATGGAACTATTTCAAATACTGAATGTTTGCAAATACCTTAGACAGTCGAGGGTGGCTTCTACGGTACTGGAATCCCAGTTT